CCCGCCCCTCCCCCCTCTCTCACCTGTGGGGGGCGGGGCCGGCGGCCGCCCCTCCCCCACTGCAGGTACCCCCCCAGCGTCAGCAGCGCCAGCAGCGCCCAGTGCCCGGCCACGCCCACCACGGCTGACGTCAGCGGGAAGTGGTACAGCAGGTACCTGGGACACGCGAGGGACACGTGAGGGACACGTGGGGGACACGTGTGTGGTACAGGCGTGTTAAACAGGGACACACAGGTGTGACAGGTGTGACATGTGACACAGGTGTGACATGTGACACAGGTGTGACATGTGACACAGGTGTGACATGTGACACACGTGTGACACACGCGTGGCTCAGGTGTGGCTCAGGGTCAGGAGCGGTTTCGGGGTCAGGTTTGGGGTCTCAGGACCCCCCCCCGTACCTGGGGCCGCTTGGGGCAGGGTCAGGCCAGGTTTAAGCCAGGTTTAAGTCATGTTTAGGCTGGGTTTAAAGCAGGGTTTAGGCCGGGTTTAGAGTCTGTTTTAAAACAGGTTTAGGCCATGTTTAGGCCAGGTTTGAGGCAGGTTTAGGGCAGGTTTAAACCACGTTTAGGCCCGGGTTTAAAGCAGGATTTAGGCTAGGTTTAGGCCATGTTTAGGCCGGGTTTAAGCCAGGTTTAGCGGTACCTGAGGCCGCTGAAGTGGGGCTGGGGCAGGTTTAAGGCCAGGTTTAGGCCAGGTTTAAAGCAGGATTTAGGCCTGTTTTAAACCATGCTTAGGCCGGGTTTAGGCTGGGTTTAGGCCAGGTTTAGGGCAGGTTTAAGCCATGTTTTAGACTGGGTTTAAGGCAGAGTTTAGGCCGGATTTAAGCCAGGTTTAGGGCAGGTTTAGGCCATGCTTAGGCCATGTTTAAGCCAGGTTCAGGCAGTACCTGAGGCCGCTGAAGTGGGGCTGGGGCAGGTTTAAGGCCGGGTTTAGGCCAGGTTTAAAGCAGGATTTAGGCCTGTTTTAAACCATGCTTAGGCCGGGTTTAGGCCGGGTTTAGGCCATGCTTAGGCCATGTTTAAGCCAGGTTCAGGCAGTACCTGAGGCCGCTGAAGTGGGGCTGGGGCAGGTTTAAGGCCGGGTTTAGGCTGGATTTAGGCCATGCTTAGGCCGGGTTTAGGGCAGATTTAAGCCAGGTTTTAGGCCGGGTTCAGGCCGGGTTTAGGCAGTACCTGAGGCTGCTGAAGTGGGGCTGGGGCAGGTTTAAGGCAGGGTTTAGGCCAGGTTTAAAGCAGGATTTAGGCCGGGTTTAAGCCAGGTTTAGGCCGGGTTTAGGGCAGGTTTAG